GCTCGTTTATGGCTCATTAATGAGTCATTGACTGCCAATTAATTGGCCATTTTTTGAACAATCCAATTTGTTAGATGATATCATTAGCAAAGAATGATGAACAACTTGATTCCAGTATCGATATTGCTGTTGACATTCAAAATAAATCAATATTAGTCGATTTCTGTTTTCAAACGATTGATCTTATAATATTTACATTTTAATTTAAACGAAAATAACGTTGAATGTGAAATAAATAAATCAAACGTTCAAGAACTTTTTTGTACATCAGAAAAAAATGATATCAAATTTATTGGATCTTTATTAAAAAATGCATCAGAATTAGCAACAACATTTTATAAGAAAGATCAATTAGAATGGGAATATTTGAGATTATTAGTCCACAAATTCAAAACGTTAGTGGATTGTTATGATCATATAATACAATTAACACAATAGAAACAACGAGGTGTGTAGAAAAAGTTTATCATCTTTCTTTAGGTAGAGGACATGACTTAGGCTGACTGAGAGTCAACCTTTGGTTTAAAAGTTAACGCATGAAAATTCAGGGAAGAAGCTTTATTTGGAAAGAGAAATTTTCGGAGTATTTGGTTCCAGTTGTTTATTTTACCTTTCGAGACAGTTTTTTGGTAGAGAAAAGATGCGGCTCAAAATTACCTCTAAAAATTTGAATCTTATTTCTCATCTAATACTCTCGATAGAAAAAGTACGTTTTTCACGGGTGGCAGTCTTTAAACTCGTTACGAGATGAAATATACTATCTTCTTTCAGACTGGGAAGCTGTTTTGAACTCATTACTAGAAAATATATTAAATTTTTTCGCCTAGGATAGAAAAACATTAAATTGTTTTATTCAAATAGAAAAATATTTAATAAGGTGCAAAAATTGTCTGCTTGTATGAGGTTAGCATAATCAGTTTCATACAGCTGACTAGGCTGTTTGGTATTGCTATTATCTTTCTGTTTTAGAATTAATTGTTAAGAATTCATAGTAGAAGAACAAAAGCCAAAAGACTATTAAAAATTACACCAATCAATTACTATAATGATGAATGGTCGAAACTTGCTATTCTTGCTTTTGTTGGACGTAGCTGTATCAAACTTGTTTTTTGTAAGAGATAATTTTATTTTTATTTTTCAATAAACAAGAAACAAACTAATTAACACATCTTCATAGTATGTACAAGTGATCGCCTATTTGACAGCAGCCGAGTGATGATGTGATAATGATGACAAATTTATGTCTTTTTTTTACGTTTTGGATTTTAACGGATACCAATAGGTGAACGATGTGACGTTGATGTTAGTTTTTGGCGCTTTGGTTGATGTATGACTGGATCATCTTCATAACTGAAAAATTTCTGAATGTCTCATAAAGATAAAACTGCGATCATTTTTCAAAAACTTTTCATAGCTGCAGTCTGCGTTGACGAAAAGCTCATCACTATTTACTAACGAGCAAACATTTCCAACTGCCCAACCTCGATTTTTTTCAAACATATGTCAATCAATAGAGGATAGTGAGCTAGTAAAAAGTCTAAAAGGATTCGGGCCCAACCGCGTAAGGAAACGGATGATTTAAAATTTTACGCAAAAAAATTTTTTTTCGTCCGTTTGTTATGAATCAATATGATATACTTATAATATAATTCTATTAACCTTACACACTATATATATATATATATATAGTAAAATAATAAAAGAACATTTTAGATTTTCATCTCCCGTAAAATATTCTATACATATTAATGGGAACATAAAATATAAAAATAAAAAGCACTAAGAAAAATAAAAGATCAAAACAAGGATAAAATAATTCTATAAACTTATACCGCTCTTAATTATTTACCTTCTATAATTTTTAACATACGGGGTACCCTATGTATAATCCTGTATCGAGTAATGGTAGATACCTGAGAATCTTTTTAACATATGGGTACCATATGTATAACGCAAAATCAATAAATAATTTTAAAGTAGTATCATTGAATTGAATTGAAATTTTATTTCACACAAAGGTAGGATATCACAAAAAAGCACCAAAAGGACTCATAAACTTATACCGCTCTTAATTATTTACCTTTTATAATTTTTAACATCTGTAGTCCAGATGTATAATCCTGTATTGAATAATGGTAGATACCTGAGAATCTTTTTAACATATGTGATATGTATAATACAAATTTAATAAAATTAAAAAACCTTATTTAAAAATATTAAAATGAAAAATATCAAAAAAAAATAAACTAACTGATGGATCTTTTTCTCTTTTTTTTTGGTAAGATCATCAAGGCCAACATGACTCTTGAAGACCCGGTTTTCTGAAAAACTGGTTTTTCAGAAATCGTTTTCATATTCTTAGACAGTATCAGTACTTACTGAGCAACAACTGCCCTTGCCTTATACAGACCAAACTGAGAAATTATTAGAATTTTGTATTGTTTTCATGTTCTTAAACAGTTACTGAGTAGATACTATGTATGGCAAAAAAAGCGAAAAGAATATCTCGATTTCTTAGATGCAGCAGAAATTATAGATTAGCAAAAGTAAATGCCGTACTAACTTTTGATAAAAACGTTTTCAAAAAATCTAAATAAATGGTTAGTCTCCATTTTGTTAGAGCTTTCAAATGAGATATATATGAGCTCAGTCAGGAAACTATCAGGTGCCGGCATAATGGCGGGAAGGTCGGTTTTCTCATGGAGCTCTCTTAAACGCTGTATGAAATACTCGATTTTAGGACTTCTAGGAAAATGCCTGTAACGTTTTGATGCAAGATCATACAGAGTTGTGCGAGATATTATTTTGATCAGAAACGTTTACTCTACAAAGCTGTGCTTTCAGAAAAATTTTAGTTGCATGAGTATCCAGGAAAACACTATTATTTCCAGACCCGTTTTCTCGAGACTCTTAGAAAACTTGCTCAAAATCTCCGAAAAACCAGTTTTGTAACCAAAAGCAATACAGATTCTAGAAGTAGACACTTCAGGCTGTCTTTTCATGTGCGTATCTCAAAATCGATTTTTTGACCGAAAATCACTATTTCTAAGGGAGAGGGCGCTTAAGTTTTGGAAATATGAAGAATTTTATTTTTATTTTTCAAAAAAATGAGTTTTTCATTTCATTTCAGTTTTTCGGCTTATTTTAGTTCTTCAGGAATTTTCTTTTGAACATTTAGAAAACACAATTTTCTTTTGGGTTCTCTGAGATCTCAAAGTTGAAAAAGGAAAAGAAAATCACATATTTCAATCACCGTTTTTGTTTTGCGATTCCTAATATATAATATATATAAAAGACATGATCTTTTCTTACAAAAGCTTAAACTTATTCTCAAAAAGTTCTATTTATGTACGATAATGTGCACAATTCGAGAAATATTTGTTCTTGACAGCACAGTTCTAAAATTCAACTCAAACTCTACCAGTCGAGTACATACGGCGTCTGAAACCTGATTCGATCCAGTTGGAATCAGATTCTACACGTCGGTCAAGGTAGGATGTGGGTTATATACTTTTCTCCACTCATACAGGTCTCCAGTTAACACTATTTATAGTCAAGACATTTAGTTTTATATACAATTTTGTACAACGAAATTAATTTATAAGGAATGTTTGGATTATTCACTCTGAATCCTAATATATCTTATGCTGAATAGAATTCTATTGACAGATATTGATGGTTTTTATTGCATTAATGATCAATCGATTTAATTAGAATTGTACAGCGTATTTTCTTTTATCCTTGTTAAGGGTATACCCCCTTCTCTTTTTTTACTCTCTTGGAAACCGGGGAAGCCAATGTCGAATCGGATTCAAATTTATACCAGAGATAGAACAGCGCAAACGAAAATTGATATATTTTTCTGGAAAACTCCAGTTTCCCTTGTACACATTACTATTCCCATTTTTTCAAGGCTTTCAAGGAAAAACTTAAAAAGTTCGTCATCATTTTTTCAAGGAAGGTCATGGAGAGCTGGGAGTGGTCTCAAGTTATAGCCCAGACTTTCTTCTGCATTAGACTATGTTCAGCTCAAAATGAAAACTTTTCTGCAAAGAAGAAGGGGATTGGAGGCTACTCTTGATGTTACATGAAAGGTAGCTAATTGGGTTACATGAATTTCGGCCCACGAATTTTTTGTCCCAGACTTTCGGACCAAACCTTAATTTACCTAATTAATTCATAAATAATTAGTAAACTTCATGGTGCTCAGCACAATACACTTTCAATAAAATGTAGTGCTCGGCAGTATAACTTGGTGCTCAGCAAGATGAAGGTGGTGGTATTGATGAAGAAACATTGATCGAATAAAGTTAAAATTATATTGGTAGAGTATCGTGCTCTGCCTTACTTCTAATAGAATTGAATAAAAACTGCTAAACATCATGTTTCACTGCTAAGTACTATATCATCTTGCCGAGCACCATGAAGTTTACTAATTATTTATAAATTAATTAGGTAAATTAAGGTTCAATCCAAAAGTTCGGGACAAAAAGTTCGTGGGCCGAAATTGCAGGCCTCCCGACTGATTGATCAACTCATTGCAATAAAAAATATGGTACTGTAAAATAGACATGAAAAAAAAATTGTTTTTTTTTGTGTCAACGAGCATATTTATAATTTTTAATATGTTAAGCAAGTATAAAAGTGACAAAAAAAAAAAGCAACAGAACAATAGTGTGTTTTTATAATTATTATTCCATTTATTCTTTAAGACTAGTCACCTGTAGAAAGCAAATAGTTATTTTTCTATTAGAAATCTGTCAGTATGATTAATTGCCGTTGATATATATATTTCTTTTTCTTTTTTTTTGCTTTATCGACTTGACATTGCAGTTCTTTTTCTATGAAATAATTTATATATAAATAACAGATTTGTATCTGTTATTTTTCAAGTTTATTTTTTAATACTCCATCATATTCATTTGTAAAATCAATAAAATAAAAGTAAGACTTTTTATTTTTCTCTTTTATATTGTATATTTCATGAGACGAACAAAAATATGTCGTTAAATAACAAATTAGTACCAGTTAGTGATATATCTATTGACGAATTTTTAAATATATTCTATGAATTAGAACAAATTTTATTAGATAATTCTGATTGTGATTTAATTATTCCATATATTGATCGACTTTCAACAAAAATTTATTTAGCTTATGAAAATATTAAAGATAAACAATTATCAATATTACTTGATCTATTAACTGATCTACTAATTAAAATAATGGATATACTTGAAATTGTTGATAGATCACCAATTATTATTCCACATTTAATTTCATTTGTACAATATTTACCAAAATTTATTAAAAATATTAATTTAAATGAAGTATTTTCATCAAATTCAATATTTACTGATGAATTACTTAATTTTTATTTAAAACTTCTTAATTGTACAAGAATAAAAAATTATTTAGAATCTATTGAACAACGAGAAATACATGATCCATTATTAAATACTATATTAATAATAATTTTTAGTTGTTTTATTTATATTAAACAATTATCAATAAATATTCTTGATTCATCAAAATTAACAATTAAATTATTTATTTCATTTATTGATCATGATCATTTACAATCTGAAACAAGTACTAATTTATTACGTTTATTAAAAGTTTTACATAAAAGACCAGATTTTACTACAATATTTATTCAAATGGGTTATCCTCAAGCATGTCTACGTTGGATTTCTGAATCAAATTTATCATATGATAATCAATATTATATTCTTAATATTTTATATAATATTTCTCGACATAATAATGGTACACAAATTTTAAATGAACAAAATGCATTAGAAATATTACATTTATATAAACATCAAATTTTTTTAAAATCATCAACATTATCACGAGAACAATATTCTGATATAGCTGTACTTTTTTGTATGATTTATGCACTTTTACTTGAACCAGATGAATTAAAAAAATCATTAAAAACATTAAATGAATTTTTATATAATACATTTGATCGATTATTTCAAACAGTAGTTAATGCTGCTAATAATGAAAAATTTAAATTCAATTGTTTTCATATATCTGAACCACTTACTGTATTAACAAGATTATTTGTAAATGATGAAATTGTTGATTATATTTTAAAACAAAATCTAGAAACAAAATCAACTGTTGTAGAATTTTTTTGTCAATTATTATTTAAATTTTATAATTTAACACGTGATAGTAATAATAAATCTGATCAACTTACATTATTATCTTTATGTAATCTACTATGGAGTATATCATTTCAAGATAAATATAAAGATGAATTAAAAAATAATTCAGTATTTATGACTATTATTAAATTATTAACAAATGATAATATTGATTTAACTACACATGAATATATGCCAAGACATTTATCATCAATTAGAAAAGCAACTGAAGGTTTATTATGGAATTTAGAAGATAAACCTTTACATATAGCGACACCGTTAATTACTAAACATCGCTCTCGTCCACTAGCCATGATTAGTTATTCACATGCAAATATTCTATTTTGTAAAGAATTAGTTGAGAAAATACGTTCTATGGAACAATTTGATATTTGGGTTGATTATCTTAATCATGAGTTAACAAATCATACATCAGTAACGCATTCTGATGATATTTGGGAAGAAATTGCTGAGGCTATAGAAATTGCATCGGTGATCATTCTGATAGTGTCAAAAGATTATTATGATAGTAAATCATGTCGTCAAGAACTCAGCTATGCTTGTGATGTATTGAAGAAACGTATTATTCCTATTTATCCAAATACCGTTCAGAAAGAGTACAAAGCAACAGGTTGGTTGGGCATTAGAACAGCTGGATTAAAATATATTCATTTTGGAAGGAAAGAATTTAATACAGCCGTTGAAGAATTAACTAATACGGTGGGAGATACAACAAACACATCAAAATATGTAATGCCACTACAACAGTCACAACCGATAATCCCTTACAACAGAAAACAAGATAGATCATTGAAACATTGGACATTAGACGATATTTCACATTGGTTTGATGTCAATCATATTCATATTGATATAAAAGATTTATATACATTTCAAACTAAAACATCATTGATACTTTATGCCGAGCATTTGAAACTCTATTATACACAAGAATATGAACTACTCCTCAGTCGTTATCAAGAAAAATACGGAAAACAACTAGAGACGGATAAATTTATCACGTTTGTAGATGCTCTATATCGTCTTTATGATGAAGATGCAGATGACGTTAAGCCATCCGAGAGTAAAACTGAAATGACTTGGTTTTAACTTTTTTCTAATTGACGAGTAATACTTTTCTGCTTAATATAACAGAATAATTTATATCTTAAACTATTTTCCAAAAAGTGAGAATAGTTTGCTCCAAAATATGGTGTACGGATCTAATTCTAGTGCCTTCGCATAACGAATATTATGTCTGTATAGACTTTTCACCAAAGAAGAAGAGTGGAAATAGTACATACATCGTGAATAGAAGAACAAAGAAGTTTAGCATGAGGAAACTAAAGCAAAGTCTAAACTATCGTTATAGTATTTAATGAGTACAGCTGTTATAACTATCCCTAGTGAATGTACTCAAGTGTGAGTACTCAAAAAGTACTCTGCTAGAAAAACCGGACGAGTACTCATACGTACTCATACATTTTTTTACTCACTGAGTACTCACCTGAGTACTCATGAGTGAG